AAGGAAAATCATAAAGGCAGTCAAAACCTGTGGGATACCCTCACTCTACGCGTGTATCTTTGCTTTGCCACTGGTGGGCCAGTAGGTAAGATAACGAACAATCGAAACCGCGAGAGAAGTGTGATGTGTTTTGCGGAAAAGATATAGCGAACTGAAGTGAATTTTTCTCTAACGGATAGCGAATATCGTAATAGCAGTATTATACCTTCCGGTATCGTCCCGTAACGGTCCACACGGTCAGCGGTGACTCTTGATTATATTTTTGACATCTTACCACTCCTCTAATAACGCGCCTTCGTTGCCCTACATTCACACTCAAATTACCGTGACAGCTGCCACTGAAGGAAGTCTTCCACTTACATTCTCACATATTCCTACTGAATCATTTCTGAGCAATTGCAATGGTGCCTTACGCTCGCCAAGTACGCAAAATGCCTAGGGCCGTATCCTATCCCTACCCAGGGGGACGTGTCCCCTCCGCTGATTCTATCCTAAGCTTAGCGAGACAGGGTTGCGTAATGGGATCCGCCATTGAACGCGTGATGTTGTAGCCACCCTCCCTGTTGAGGCACTCTTTTCTCTGGGAGGGTCGCGCTGTCTGGAGTCTAGAAACGCAGAGTATGGCTGGTCCTATGGAGCAACCCTGTCTCCCCCAACCACAGGATAGGATCAGCGGCGGAGGACGTGTTTCCTGGGAGCAGGGTGAATAACGGTCGAGGAATTTCCTCGACCATAGCTCTCTACCATGCGAGAGTAGTGCCGAGAGTGAACATCCGCGCGGAGAGCACAGACGGCACGCGCATGGCGAGTGTGAATGTCCGCGCGAGAGATCGTGTCTGATCGGGCAGAGAATCCTCGACGTGCCGTTGAGGAATCCTCAAGCGATATTCACCCTGCCTGGGAGAAATAGGATAAGGCCCTGACTGTAGCGAAACGATACATACTCCAAATCAAAAAGAAATCCATAACATGGAAACGACATGGTAACAAAACACTATGCCTCAGTTTCGTTTCAACATATGTGTTAATAAAAACCGTGTAACCTTAATGGCACATTTACTGAACATGAAACTCAAAAATCCCTTTTACTTAGGAAACGAAACACAAAAATTCTCTCAGCAACTTTGGCGATGAACGTTATATGCCTCATCCTTCATCCTATCTCATTCCTATTTTCTCTTCCACTATAAGACCAAATTAGGATAGTCTATCCTTGAGGTTTCGGGTCACGTCTCGAAAGAAAGCAAGACAGGTCGTAACAAAAAAGACTCGACTTGCTATTAGACTTAAAACTCGTTTTAAATTGCAGTATTAAAGTGTTGAGCCAAAATATGTGGGACTCACCTGCAGTCCAAGCCAATACATGCCTCCAAGAATTGACAGACCAGTCACATATGGGATGAGAAAATCTGAACAGTAATAGTATAGCCTCTACAGTAACAATCACAGGAACATCACACTTACTTGACTTCTCTGTAAAACGTCGCATCAACGAACATCGACGGTGCAAACGACATGATAACAAATACGATCGCCACAGACAACTCACTTCGGACCTAAAAAAAAAGATAGCAAATGAATCCATATTCCGAAGTAATCCACCATAGCTACGGGAAATCCTTCTTACTACTACTTACCAGCCACAACTCCAAAAATCCAAAAATGCACACAATGTATGGTGGCATGATCGGAATAGCAGCAAAGAGAGAGGCAAGCACTGCAAACACATGAATCATGAAATTCGACTTAACAGTCACATATAGTAGGGTTCTATACAAAAAATATAATCTCTGCGTCCTCCGGTTGACAAACCAATGGAAAACTTCTCAACGTAAGGTAGTAACTACGTTGATCACTACATATAGCACTAATCAAAGAAGGTTCGTGCCCTAGAGTAAACCAAGTTGGGCACCATCATTAGATTTTAGCGGCCCCTGTCACTTCGCAGCGATTGCCATCAGGTCTCTTCAGTAGAGTGCAAAAACCTGTCGATCCAACATAATCTTCTTACCAGCAGGGTTTGTTGAAAGGAATATAAAGCTTTTCGTCGCTTAATGTCATGGATAATACGTCGGTAGTTAAGCACAATGTGCTACCTATCGCGTTCGCAAACTGAAGTGTCCAAGAAGCTCACTAAAAAAAGCGTGAAGCCTACTAATGAGCGAGTAGATTTCACGTGACGTGATAAGCATGACTGTGATCACCCCCTTACGGCTATACACATATAACACCAGCTGACACATCTCGCGCCCCTCGAAATGGTGTTTTCAGTGGCAGCTGGAGGGCAACTGACGGAAAAAAAGAGAACGGAGAGGAAAGGAAACAAGCCGCTAATGAAACTAAGGTTAAAATCAGTGATGAGTTACAATTCCAACCGTAGTCATGATGATGATAAGACTTCTCACAAGGCACCCTTTTTGCATCTCCTACTCGGGGTGTTGACCTCACTAGTGAAACAAATATGCCATTGAGCATTTGCAGGGAAAGAAAGGCTTTGGTGGTTGACGGGCAACAAATGGTAAAAAAAATAGAGCAGGATAAAGCAATTGGCGGCTGATCAACCTTTTTTGCCACATATTCTACATCAAAACGGTAGTGCATTTGAATGCGATTTGGCCTACAGATGCTTACGCCAAGGAGTGAACGATTCCACCCAAATTATTGTGCAGCAAAATTTCAATTTAAAGGCAAAAGTCAGGCTCGTGTTTCGGCATTATGGCGCCTGAATATTGAGTGTAGAGATGGGAGGTGGAACGACAGTGAAGAAAAAACGCAAAGAAACCGTCGACAAGACCGAAATCGAAACCCCTTCCTTCTAGCAGTGAAGGAGGCTTGCTCGGGGAGAGCCACGTCCAAACGAGTTTTCCGGATATGCCAGCCGTTCCATCGGTTGATACGGCAATCAACCTAGCTGATCTCACACGTTAGGCCAGCCACGCACCACATCCCGCGGTGGGCGATCCGTGCTGCCGGGAAATTCTCGCAGCACGGCAGCACACAATGCAAGGCCCTAGCGCCTTTGCCGCGCACTTTCTTTGTCGCGACAGCCTCACACCCCCTCTGCTTGGAGACCCCACTTTTGCACCCTATAAAGGACTTTCTAATGTTCCCTAATCCTGACTCGTGGCTTTGAAAATTTCCCATGCGAACATTCAAGTTAAAGATAATAAGGAAAAATCTCCAGAGTGTCCATCAAGCTAGGAGAGTAGAATCAGAATCTATAAAGCCAGAAACTCACTGCATGGAACAAACACCACGTTCAGATCGAAAAGGCTGTGGACGAAGTATGTATACAGCCCATAGAAAACAGCCATTTTTGACGACAACACGAAAACTCCACTAAAACACGAAAAAATTTTCACTGATGAGTCACCGCCTACAAGGGGAAAGCAGCAAAAATGGACATTGCTAGTTCAGTTCCACCCTTTTTCGTTCAGATTTTAGATCAGGAAAGTACAAAAAAAACCCAAGTTCATTATACTCACAAAATCGCCTGTTCAATGGCACCGGTGACATCGTAGTCCATTACCGATGGTTTACCCGTTCTCGTCGGAGGACTTGACGTATCAGAGATGGTAGCCAACTGCGCTAAATCACTGAACCACTGGATCGGTAGCCATCGATCTCTAGACGCTGAGAGAAGATAGTAGACCATGGTGAGGAACACAATCTGCAAAGATAAAACTTTTGCTCTGAAAACTAAGAAAATAGTGGCATAGCATTCGAAAAAATTTACCAATTCGATTATAGTGTTGAGTATGTCCATTCCAAAGCTCAAGAGAAGCCCAGCAAGGGCACCCATCAGTGATAGAACAAACGTAAGATTCACCGACAACACCGACCATACAGAGCGAGCCACCTAAATCTTTTGGCTCAAAAATGGAAATTCATCAGGAAAGAAAGAAAAACAAAAAAAAACTATGAATTGCCAGGAACTATCTGATCGAAAACTTACACCCATTAATGTATCCAGGTTTTCTCTCACGATCAAGGTGATTTCCTGTTTCAGAGCGCGTAAGTCCGTGATTGACATTAACTGCGTCTTCCAGTCCCGCACTTCACCTTCTGGTGAAGCAGCAGCTAAAAATGGCTCAATTCATAACACCGCAGGCGTAACGGGATTCGAGAAAGGGTTCGCAAGTATAAAACATATAGAAAACGGGAGTGTGAGGGGCGCCAACGTCACACGCAGAGGAGAAAAATGAACATACTTGGCCTGGCGGTATCTCTTTCTTCCCACATTCGGTAGAGATTGTCCACAACCTAAACGAAAAACGAAAATTAGAAGTCTACTCGATGGAAAAGGTGTTGATCTTTTCCTTCCATGCATTGGAGGACTACTCACTTCGTAGATCTGGTGGGAGACAAACAGTTCATAAATTGCATTTTTAGTGAACCAATGAGATTAACCCCCAGACTCTTTGTAATGAAGATAGTGTGTCTTGCATATTAACTAAAGCTCCCGGCAGTAGCTAATCATCTGCAGAAATTTGGCTCACGTACGCTGTGGTTGACTGGGATTCGATCCAGAGACCAAGCGCACGCTAGTAGTTCATCTGGTCATCACACCATCCTCGCTCGAATGAACATTTTAGAAATATGAATCGGCAATGTTGATTGCCCATTCTACATAATATTGAAATTATGAAAGTTGGGACGAAGCAATGAAAACTACTTTGTCGAAGCATGCGCACCCTGGACAGTTGACCATTCGTACGATTAACTTTTAGTAGCTTAATCCATGCATGCTCATACTCGCCTTTGATGGTTTTAGGAGTAAGAACATAATTACCATCGTGCACATTTCACTCAAAGCGGGGGCTCTGACCGTGCGAAGTTGAGTACATGTGTGTTACCAGCATGCAGCACAGGGTTTATTGATTATGGCCCATTTACTCAGCAGACCACCACATGTGATGAGATATTAGATAAGAAAGTAAGGTACGAGAGGTGTTTAAAAATAGCAATATTACGAGGTATAAATGAAACAGAATAAACAATAAGTATAGAATAAATATAATGAATAAAGTGAAATAGGGACGACCTTGAAGAGAACCACGGATTTTGGGTTAAAGGAAGAAGGATCCTTCTATTTTTGGCTGAAATATATCAATGTGCTAAGGTCAAGCGAAGAAGCGGCCGAATGGTAATACAGGCTAAACTTCTGAGGGTTCGTTAGATCACGCTATAGTCAGCGAAACACGCTTGCTAAAGTAGATCGGGGAACCGTGTTTCCTCATAAAAACCCGCACTGTCGTTTGACGGATCTGCAGCGCTTCTCTTCCGAATAAGCTTTTCAATAACAGAGCGAAACGAAGTTATAGTTGAGACCAAAATCTGCTCTTCGATAGTTAGGTATGTGTTTTTCAAGTCACATCGGTAATTACCTTCATCACTTGTTTTTCGAGCATGTCCGCTCTGATGCTGTCCTGTGGTACCAGGGAACGTACGTTTGATGCAAGCCATGCACGGCCTTGTTCGTAGCCCTACAACAGACAATTGGAAGCGAGAAAAATTGGAAAACTGGCATTGTGGGAGCCAGAAGAAAAAAATAATACACACCTGCTGCACGTACTGGTCAATGTCAATATCATGATCTTCCAACTTATCTTCGGTGAAGTTTCTCGCGGCACTGAGCCAATCCGGTCGAGAATTGATGATGCTGGTCGAGAGCCGGATAATATGCACCTAGAGCCAACTTCAGTACTTGCCTGAGTAACAACACAAAAAAGAAAAGGAAAGGTGAACGAACGGTCTCATTATGAAGTTGAAATCCAACGAACAGCAAGGCGAAGAGGGCGAAGAATGCTAGAAAACCCATAACAACCACTGACGATAGAACATCCATTTTCGAGTGAAGAGATGAGGCCAGCATTTGGTCCGATGTGAACAGTACCTAAGCGAGAATGCTATGAAACATGACACTGCTTACAACATAGATATCAGTTATAGTATTACTCAGTTGTACAATCACTCTTAAGCTGATTGTGTTCACTTGGACACTCAAAATGTAAGCAGGTAAAGACTGGCGTTGAGACGATGAGGATACACTAAGAAAGCCTGGCATGCAGCCAGTCTCCCCGCACACTAAAGGAGCTTCAAGTTTAACTCTGCCGTCTGGCACACTCCCACTAAAATTTGACCTCCA